GCGCCTGCGAGTGTGGTGGGCCCGCCCTCGATGACCATCACCAGTGCGCCGTCACTGCACTCGGATGCAGAGCTGACCAAGGTGCGCCGATCGTCGCAGACCAAGTCGAAGAAAAGAGACCAATAATTAATAGATCCAATCAACTCTAATGGCGATGGCCTCCAACCTAAGAGCGATGGCCTCCAACCTAAAAGCGATTGCTAGACCAATATCAACCCTTCGACTGTAGGGATATGGGGAAGAGACCAAGAGATCAAGTCTGGCTAATGAAGGTTTGATAGTTAGATCTTGATCCTATCCCCAAAAGCTCCACGATCTTCAAAACATCTAGCCGGATATTCAGGCATCAGCATCCAATCGGTTTCACAGGAGTCCTAGACATTCCATTATATTATATTATATTTATTCGATTTGAAGAGATCTGTTCTTTGCAGGTTGAACTAGCTAGGTGCAGGCGTGGGCCAAAGACAAAAGGCCTGCCATTTGTCACACCCACATGTGACGCACCCACCTGTTTGCAAGCAACTCTTCCTTTGGCAGCCATCAGAATCCCAGCAACAAGTCCCAGGTCCTGTGGTGACATTCAATTACTTGCCCCATGGGCTCCGGCCCAAAACAGGGTAGGAGTATGTGGGAATCTTCTCCTTGCTCAGGAAGAATCCGGTGTATGTCAGCCCTACTGGCACGACCTTTGACATAGGTACACCCTTTCTGGCTTCAGACTTGTCACTTACTAGGTGAATTTCACGGATACTTTCGCGCCTTCCCTTTATTGGGTTGTTCGAAGCAGCGTCATTGTTCTCTTTTTGTATGCATGTAACAACATACAACTGTTCTACAATATCAGTCAAGGTACTGTGGAAAATTACCGGTATCTACACAGATTCCTACTGTGCGTCTTGTGGGGAATCTCCATACTGTTGTACCAGTCCCATTAAGTTTACCCAAACATCGAGAAACCAAAATCATTAGTGCGAGCGCGAGCTATCTTGCGTCCGGTAGGTAGTAGCTTCTCAGTAGCTAGGAGCGTACAAGTTTGTCCCTTCCTTAATTAAGTAGGCACCTATTTGTATAATTAAGTGAGGGCGGGCCAAAACATACAGTTTCACTGTGCGTTTGACGTACCGCTTGGCATACCGCCTGTTCACGGCCCGAAGTCCCTCGACTTCGGACCGTCCTGCACGGCCCGAAGTCGTTTTCGTCGCACAGGAGTCCTTCAATGTCAACTACCAGACACACGATGTGCGCGAATTGAAGAAGGCCACCGTGTGGCGATGTGCGAACCGGTGAAATTGCGAACCGATTCATTTGCCATTTTTGTATTGATGCATGTACTGCATGGGCGGGTCCATATGTGCAGAGCCTGCAGAGCCTGGCCTGTTAGTTATGTGGCACTATTTCACTATGTGTCACAGTTGGGTTGTACTGAGACTGAATTGTGGAAGATTTGCGAAGTTCAATTAATACTTTAGCGGCTAGCGCTGCCTCTAAGTAGGGCAAACTAACCTCTCTCGCTCTCTCTGGCATCCAGAGATGTTTCTGAAGGGCAGGGAGGGGGAGAGCTACCAGCTCACAGCAGATGCTCTCTGATTCGGACACAGATGATGCACAAGCCCTGCGTGAGGAGGAGGACCAAAACTACCAGACCAAGATCGACCCAAAGATCAATGAGGCCCGGCCCCTAGTCATCCTAATCCATCAATGCACCGATCTCACTTAGATCACGTGAAAATGAGGTCCATCTTGATGGCGGTCCTCAGCAAGTCGCGATGAGATTCAGAGTCCATCTATTAATCCATAATATACTCAAAATAAGCCGATGGGCTTTGGTGAGTTTCTTTTTTTTAGCCACTAACTCTGTGTCATCCGACATCCTTCCCTGGCCTGCAAGGCCCTCATCTTGCCCACGCGGTCGAGGAAGGTAGTGGCCACTGATGAGCACTTGGCAGAATCCTCAGGCAAATCTCACACGGGCAGAGTCCAGTTGGTGGACCAACCTGTGCGCAGTATGTCCGAGTCAAATCTTCAGACTTCTTTCGTTGGCCTTAGGGAATCTGGACAGTCTTTCACTGTGTTGCGTGGCAGAGTTCTGCAAAAGAAGTTTGTCACGTTTGTCGCAAACACTTCTTCGAACCCTTGAGCTAGTGACACAAACATGACGAAGCAGCCACTGGATCCATGTGGCTATGTTGATTTTTGTGGGATTTTGAAGAGCAATAGGATCCAATCCAATAGAAATCCATAGGAGGTGGGGGTCAATGACACGCCGGTCGAAAAGTGCTGAGGATCAGCTGCTCTTCCCTCGAGGCTATCACGTGGACAGGGAGCTCCCCCCCTAAGCGGAAGGGGCTCCCAGCGGGCGCCCTGGGGAAAGGCCTGCCGTGCGCAGCGCCGAGCGTGGTGTTCCTAGTAGCGTCCTTGCTCCTAGTAGCGATGCCAGGAGCCTGTAGTGGCTTCTTGTTCCTAGTAGTAAGGCACTTGTCGGGCGTTTCGGTAGTCCCGTACCTTTTTCGTCCAATTTTAGCATTTTACTATTGGCCCAGATTGCTGGCCAGATTCATGTCAGTTCACATGCCAATCGGACACTGCCATTTTCATGCTAAAGACATTTGGCAGCTTTGTGTCTTTGCCCTCTCTCTCACCCCAACTTATCGTGACAGGTGCTTTTGGTGTTGTTTACAAAGGGCGCAAGCGCGATGGGAAGGCCTGCTTGTGGGCACCAGATTCGGCAACATGACACCGGTAGTTCTCTGAATAGTTCTTTGCATGTTCACATGGCGTGCTTGTAAGCACAACAAAGACCATGGAGCTGAACGAATGTACATGGAAATAAAACAATTCAAGCGAAACAACGTGAAACACTTAAGACTCCTCTTGCACGCCTGTAAAGCATTTGCCGGGAAAGAAAAACATGGCTGAATGCGAAATACCTGACTCGGCCGCAGTGTGAGGATGTGGCTCTGAAGGTCTCAGAGAATGCTTCAGCGACACAACCGATGCTGGAGCAGGAGGGATGCAAACACCGTTCAGAACAGGATGGATACCCGATTTGCAGTGGAGAAGATGGGCGCGGATAGATGGATGGAGACGCTTTCTGTTGGGCGGTTGATGAGCTTTGCATGGGTCGGTGCTAACGATTCAATGCTTCAGAGGAACTGACCTTTAAACTATTGTTGGCTCTTGTGGTTCTTTGCCCTGCAGGAGATCAACATCCTCAAGATGTTGGATCATCCGAGCATCGTGGGTGCCCTACAAGAAGAGGTGTGAATTCATATGATTTGGACCGTGGCAAGAATTTTGCACAGCCTGTTTTGCCCATGCGTTAGCTCGCTTTAAAATGATTGCAACATGCTCAGGTTCAATTCTATGATGCCTTTGTCGACAAGGACAGCGACTGGATGATCATTGCAGCCGCCTGAGACCTTTTTTACAAACTCCAACATGGTTGCGTCCGTTTGTCTCAAGCCACATGCTGCCACCTGTGCGCGTATAGCTCGTAGAGTTGACAAAGGCGTTATATTATTCAACTGATTTCACGGGGGGATTTTGTTTCCTGTGTAATTATATTGTATACTGTCAGACAAACACATGGCACACACTCTTTCGATTGCAATGTCACCTGATGTTTGGAAGTGAACTCATGAATGAAATGTAGGTAAGCTGAGAAAGGCTGAAGGAGAGAGGGTGAGAGAGTGACACGCGTCGCAAGCAGAATCATCACATGAATCACAAGGAACCGACTGCAAACTCCATCGCCTCACTGACATCACAACAAACCGAGGACAAACTCCATCACTCCACACGCTCGCCGGAAGAGCAAGTACCAAGTACCAAAACAGGTATATAAATACCAAACAGGCAGATTCCTACCAGGAACCAAAGGCACTGCATGCACAGCTCCCTCGACCTGTACTGTGCATGTAGTTCAGCACCTTCCACTGACCCAGCCAGCAACGCTGCACTGGATCGTCCCCGCCATGCACCCATCCGGGTGCACAGCAAGCCTTTTAACGCAATCGCCGGAGTGCCCTCACCACCATGCACATGACAGATAAGTTCCATAATGGTTGCCCACAAGGTCACGTGCACTTCTCAAAGAAGCGCAGTTCATCCAAGCCAGCCAATCAATGTATCCTTCGGTTTGTTCCAAGGCTGCTGCCTGCCCAACCATGATAGGTTTCCAATTTTTTTGTATGTCGATGTTGGCTGCATGTTTTGAAATTGCTTGTATTTGCCTCAAACAGCACCCCAAATGAATATGATGTGGATCGAAGAATGACCACTCGATTGTGAAGAAATTCTTTATCAGCCACCTTCATCTAAGACAGACATCTCCGTCCCAAAGAACTCGATCTCTTGGACAAGTCATCACTCGGCTGTTTCGAAGACGCAACGAGGCTATGGAGCTGGTCACAGGAGGTGATCTCTTGAGCTCCCTCACTGGGGAACCTCACGTCTATGAGGACCAGACTTTGACTTTATATATATATATATACTGTATATATTATATTTTACTATCAAAGTATTAGGAGCAAGAAGCTACTAGTAGCTCCTGGCATCGCTACTAGTAACAAGAAGCTACTAGGAACAAAGGGCATCGCTACCAGGAGCAAGAAGCTACTAATATTGAAAGGATCTTCAATTGTTTTTGTTGTCCGAAAGTTCCAAAAGAACCAAGTCTATGAGGACCAGACAGACTGTTCTCTGGCACTTGTCAAACTTGACGATGCGTGTTTTTTTTTTTTTTTGTGTTGCTTCGGGTGATCGTGGATTTTGGGCAGGTCGCCGCGTGGCTCAAAGTGGCGGGAAGTTGATCATTGGGAATCTCTTTTGTCGGTTTGATCCATACTATTCACTATTTTGGGGAATCGACAATTTTTTTGGATTCCAAGAACTTGCACATTCTTCAGCCTGGAGTGCTAGTGAATTCTGGTCCAAAGGAGGGCACCTTAACCTGAGATCTGCCAGGGTTTAGTTCGCCCAATCCATGCCGCAACCAGGAAGGCTTGGTTCGCCCAATGGTTTTCCACATCTCTTGCGCCTGGAGCTTAGTAACTTAGGCGTCGTTTAGAAGCTCCGCGGACATGTCAGGGGAGGATCCATACGAATTTGCATGGAAAGCTGGCAACTGCCTCCAGCACGTCAAACCCGCTTTTGCAAAGTTCAAGGAGACTTACCCACTTTTGCGTACGATCCAACAGGCTCAATAAAAACACCGCGGCCTTGCGCTGGCGGCCATCTCTACGATCTAGATGCTATCATTGTTTGGGTTCCAGAACCCCTATGGTAAGCCACACTTGATGAAACACCAACTTTCGGTTCGTGGCCTTTCGTTCGAACGACCGGTGTTCACCGGTGAAGCGTCGGTCTCTGACTCCGAGGCCTTGGCCCATGCGCATGAGATGGGGGTGGTGCACCGGGATTTGAAGCCGGCCACTTGGGCAATGCCCGGCAGCCACGCAGAGAGAGGAGAGCTGTTGGCTAGGTAGACCAAACAGAGAGAGAGAGAGAGAGAGAAGGGTTCATTCCTCCAGCCTGCAGCCTGTGGATGGAAAGTGTATGAAAGTGTGTTCTGTACGATTTGGAATGGTTTAGAAGTTTGGCCAGGCAGAGGCGTGGGATACGGTATACTCGTATACCTTGCGTTAGGAGTTTTTTTGTTTTTCTTTGCGAACGGGTGGAAGGAAGGATGTCAAGACGGTGCAACGACATAAGCAAGACAGCAAAGGATCACGTTTTCAGGCCTCACATCTCATCCATCCCGATTGAAGGCACAAAAGAGATGCAACTTGGTACCTGCTTTGAGGTGATTCGACACAGCTCCCCCGAAAACTTCGTACCGACACATCCGACACAGCCTGCGACACCGACCTCACCAAGGAAAACATCCTTTTGCGCCAAGGAGACCGATTTCCCAAGGTCAGGATTCCTCAAAATTGTTTCGTGGCCAGCATGCTTGGTCGAAGAGAGACGCCCATAATGTCCATCACCCAGAATTAGAGCAATGAATCACTGTCAAAAGATGGTTGCATTCTTGGATTGTCCTTTTCTGTATTTACTGGTAGCTGGCAAATACTATGACATAAGTTTGGGATTTGCCAGTCCGCTCCCAAGGTTTAACAGATTGAAGATGCTGGGCTTTTGTGATGTACGCCTTTGATTCCAAACCTACTTTCTCATGTGAATGCATGTTTATCGATCCAACCTTGCTTTCAAAAAATCCCCGGCAAACGTTTTGTTCCAACATGCATGCAACTTTTGTTTTCACATTTTGCCGCACAGACGAACCCAACATGCATGTAACTCTTGTTCGATGACATGAACCCACCAAGCTGCCAGGTGGCTGACTTCGGTTTATCCCGATCTTTGAGGCCGATTTGGGCGACCGGGGTGGTCAGCCGGGTAGAGCAGCCAAATCGAGGAGAGTTGGAAGGCGAATGACTGGGTCGTGGTACACAGCACCCGAACCCTGCACTATGCACTCCTCTCGAAGCGGCCAGTGGCGGACACTGGGATTCAAACCAACTACCCATGAACTCTTTGGTCTGATGTGCAGCTCTGAACAAAGCAGTGAAGGGAAGTCCACATTGTGTTTTTCATTTTTCCTGACAATTGACCGAATCAGTCACATGTCCCTCACATTGTCCTGCTTCGTCCCAGATAACTTTTCCTTCTCGTTCTCTCAGGGCATCGGAGGTTGCCATGACGGTGGCCGGCACTCCAACGTACATGGCGCCTGAAATCCAGGATGGATCCTGTCCAAAGGAGGTTTCTGAGGGAATCCTGCAAGAGCATGGGCTGTGCGGGGTTTGGTTAAGTTTAAGGGGTCTTGGCTTGGATTTGGTGTGTTCTGATTCTGGTTGTTGTGTTGTCCTTTCTTACTCAGTCTTACTGTAAGTCTTACTCTTTACAGGAAGGACAGCGCCGCAGGAGGCAATGTTGCTTGGCGGGCAGCTTTGGTTGCATGGGCTCGTCAGATATCGTAAGTTCATCGTCTTTTAGATTTATGGGCTCTTTTTCCCTTTTTCTCAGGTTTCTCTTTGCACCTTTTTGATGCAAGGGTTCTCTGCGAACGTTTTCCTGCTCCTCAGCAGATGGCCGGTTGGCGCAAAGTATCGCGCCCGGAGGATCCACGTCTTCCATATGACTTTCCTGCAGATGTCTACTCATTGGGGTGTATCCTCACTGCCTGCGCCTCAGGTATCATGTTTCTCTTTTGAAGAATCTCCGGAAGACTTCTATTCTTAACATTGGTGACGTTTGACTTGTCACCCACTCACCAAGATCATCTCTATGGCACTGCAAGCCGTGCTGATTTGGCACTGCGTGAACCCAAGGACATGATGGACAAGGAGTTCTGTTGCAGCTGGTATGCTAAGGTGCCCAAAGAAAACGCAGCATACTGAACGCAGATAGAACGGACACGGGGTTTCATGAAATCATGAGTCTACATTAAACGGACCAACAGATGTTTGAAAGAATTGATCCCCCTGCGTGCGGTTCGGACTGCTGACCGCAGAAGTCCGCTCAGTTCCATGCAGCTTGAAAGCCGGAACTAGCGAGGAACACAAAGGCCAGACAGCATAAGAAAGTTAGGACATGGCCCTACCCTACCATTTTGACCAGCCCTGCACTTGAACGCGCCGGCTGCTCTGAAGCACAGCTCGTGCAGTTTTCTTTCATTCCGTCATCGGACAATGGCCAAGGCCAGCAAAAGACACTTTCATTTCCAATGCCCCACGAATCCTAAGTGGATATTCTGCATATGCCAAGCAAATATGTCTTCTTCCACTCCACAACCCGCACCGCCTCCGTATCGCCTCCACGAGGCGATGCCGGGGAACCACGAGAAGATGCGAAAGCGTTGGCCCGACGGATCCACGCCGCATCGCTTCAGCCGAGAACTGAAAGAATTGCAAGGCACGGAACGACGTGACATCCGACGTTCTCCGCACCTCATCACCCCCGCGTTCCGATCTCGCCGTGAACGGGGCGGGGGGAGAAACCGGACTCTGGAAACTCTGGTTCCGATCTCGCATCCTGGCGTGTTCTGGTCGTTAGATGTATCTGAATCACAGCATTTCAGGCATGTGGGCGTTGATTCATTTTTTGTGGACATTTATTGTGGGTCTATATGTTTCCGAGCCACGTCGAAATTATTGAATAGGCGGCTGCAACGTTGGGATTGACGCCATCGCTGTTTGGCAATGAATTCACCAACCAACAGACTGACGTGGGCAGAGGATGACAGAGGTATGAGGCTGGCCTTATTCCCAAGCCCTCAGTTCATCCTTGCCACTTCACATGCCGATTTTCATATTTACTTGAGATTAGACGGTTTGAATCGGACTCAGCCTTTTCTACACTCTTGGGATCCTTTCCACAACACTTTTTCAAGAAGTGCCGATGGATGTGCGGACATTGATGGGTCACCTGGCAGGCCGAATGCTTGGTCAAGCACCGGGGCTCCGGGCGAGCTGTTTCCAGATCTGTTGGGGACACTCAGATGTTAGTGATCGATGTGTTCGCTCCTGTCCAATAGGGCCCAATAGCGCGACCTGTCCGAAAGGTGGTGCCTCTATAGGGTGGCCCCCCAGAACGACGAAGAAGATGTGAGTTGGAAAAGAATGACTAAAGGGTGTTGGCAACGGTTTCATGGTGGGAACATGCTGGAGCATGGGTTCTATGTTGGAGAAACATTGGATTTTGCTTCTGAGATCTTGTGAACATTGGTCCAATCGTCCAAGGCAAAGACCTGCTCTGCCTGGCAGATGAACAGGTCTTGCCCAATGTGTTGTGGCAGGCACAAGTGGGGTAGAAAGTGGACAGTGGAAACTGTTTTGACGAAACATCCTTCTTGCAGCTCATAATGCTTATGCCTAGTGCAGGCAAGCAGGATGTTACTTGCAAGGTTCCTTGGGCTCATCAACGTAAATGCTCCAGCACTTGGCAAAGCCAAGAGCCAGTTTAAACACCTTTCCTTTGTGGAAAGACTGATTCCAGCTTCACAGGATACACAAAGTGGCCAGGAAAAGAACATTTTGTAACTCATTTTGTAATATATACTGTAATATTGTAATATATATATTTGTTCACTCCTTTGCATCCTAGAATGTTGATACCAATTTCAGGTCTTTGAGTGTCGGATCATTGACTGCAGGAGCGGCCAAAGTTGCCGTCGGGGCCACCACAACAGAAGATGCTTAGCCCAGAGATGGCTGCAGACATTGCAGGCTGCTGGGGTGGCATCATGCAGATAGACCAGATAGACCTTCACTGATTGGTGTGTATGCTGCTGCTGCAACTGGCAATCAGAGCTTGTCCATAGAAAGCAGGCTAGAAGGATTTAGAGACGTTTGACTAGTGATGACTCGTGACCAGAGGCTAACACGTTTAAGTCATTCAGTCCAACATATCCCAACAATGGATATTGGAGTGTCATTCAGTACTGCGGAAAAAAGAACACATCGTTTTGCGGACCCTCATGAACCCCGAACCCAACACGCCTGCGCAGGTCGTCGTGGCTATGGTGTAGGGGTCCGGGTGTTGGTCTTGGTGAACGGCCAGTGGCTCCATGGCAAGGCAGTTCTCCGGTCGTAACGGAGCTCAGAGGGGCGTCACCTTGTTCCTAGTAGTAAGGCCAGGAGCCCCTAGTAGCGTCCTTGCTCCTAGTAGCGATGCCAGGA